TAACAAGTCAAGTAACTTGCGGTTTAAATTGAGACGAAAACCCGATGCCATGCGCACGCAATCGCAACGAATACGGAAGAGTCCGACCTGCGCAAATCGCAACCGGCCAAGTCCACAACGCCGACGCTTCATTCGCCGTAAACCTCGGCGAGAAAGCTCTTTCTAATTTAATTAAAGATGCGTTCTCTCGTCGCACCGGCAACAAAATGGCGCGATTTACATAACGATACCCCGCATCCCGGTCGTAACTATCTCGTGCGCGCAATAATCGCTGCTAATTAAGAACCCGTATCCGTCGCTGCTGCTGCTGCTGCAAACGAAGGGTGAGGAGGAAGAACAACACAATTATTTATGAGGCTGCTCTATGATTACGAAGTGGAATCGTGGAAGCGGCGACTAGCTGTCTGCTAGTAAATTGCACTGGCTCCATTCCAAAGAGCGTGACGACGGGCACGGGATACGCGCGTCCGCGGCACGGTTCGAAAGTCCGGGAAATCATTCGTGGAAGCGCGGCATGAAAAATCGGGAACACGCTGTCGTCACCCAATTCTGTCAGTATAATCCGGATACTTCGATGCCCGCGTAATACCAGCGCGGATTTAGGTATCCGAGCTTTTCCCAGACACTCATATTCATGGATGTTATTTCGGTAACTAAAAAGTAGTATCGCCATATTAATTTCCGACGGTTTTTATGGTTGCACAACGCGCAAAATGCAAATACTTCTGCATAAATGACATGCACTCATTGGGTATAAATGGTAAATTATGTTGCCATATTCTTGCTTATTCTGTAACTTTTAATGGATGCGTTACATAGGCATAACATACGCGGATAAAATGCATCACAAAATAGCTGCGCAACGATACGTTAACGATGACGAAATTTCCATTACATTTCCATTACAAATTACAGAATAATAGTTCGGGACTATCCGGATTGTCTTGTGCGTTTTGAATCTGACTGTGCATTTGACAGTGTATAGTAGAATTGCGCGGTGTCAGGGTGTATATATGGGCTAACAGATTAAGATCTGTCGCAGTTTTTATCGGAAGAGCTCACAATCGATTGCCTCTGTGTCTTGCGTTGTGTTGGTGATTACGCTCGAAAACTTGTCGTGCGTTTATATTGAAAATGACTCAAACAGAAGATCGAAATATCTGTCATCGAATTTTAGTTATACATGTAAAGAAAAATCTATAAATTATTTACATACTTATACTTAGCGTTCGGCTCTCATAGACTTTCATAGATTCAAATTTAATTTCCGTATATAATATTATAACAGAATATAGTGTATTTATATATTATCCAATTCATGGTTTGAATTTATACTCGCATTAATTACCGCGACCGGTTCTTACTGGTCTGACGTCTCTTTCGTTGATTGTGTACCTTGAGAATCTTGTTTCTATATGCACGGTCGACGTCATGTATGCTTTTTTTAGACGGAGAATTATACGATTTATAGCTTTGCATATAGCGCATAACGTTGAAAATCGTAGAAATAATTTTAGTTATAATGTCGGAGTTAATTATAACGTCTCTCTAATTATAGTGTCAACTTTATGTGTACATGAAAACTAGAAATTATATAATACTAAAATATTTTAACCCAGAGTATGGTACAGCGTACATGACGCTGATTCAGCACATTTAGAAAATAGTAACGCGTAAATGGTTATAAGTCTGCGATATATTCGTTGATTATTTGTTATTGTTAAAAAAATCATAACATTTGAAAGTAACTGCCAATTAACTCCGTTACCCGGATAATCGAAATTTACAGCACTGCATTGAGAAGAAAAATAGTAGTTGAATTGGCAAAAAATCGACGGTCGAAAAAATATTATGTCCACTGGACAAATTACACGTTGGCGCAACAATACGTTGCGTTCACACGCGTTGCCGACCAAATCGCAATCATTAAATTAACGACTGATAACTCATCGCAACAACTGTATCATTTGTTCAGTGGACTAAACGTTGTGCTGGAAAAAAGTCTTGTTCGATTAAGCAAAATTTCGATTTTGCCGCTTTCTCTTTCCTCGATGTAATCGTCGGTCATTTCGGACGATCTCTCGGCGCGCGTCCCGAAAGAGGAGCGAGTCGTAGATGGCGATGAAACAGCNGGGGGGGGGGGGGGGGGGGGGGGAAAATTTCAACATCTCCGTTACTTGGCGATCGACCACGGAAAATGACAATGGAAACGTTGTGTGCCTCTTGGCGGAAAATCCGAAAGCCATCGTCGTCGTTTGGCGGAGACCCGTTTTTACACGTAATAACGGAAACGTCGGTTACGCCGGACGAATCTTGGCGTGATTTCGGTACTTCGCGATTACAATTCGCATGTATAAGAACAATATTGCCCTGTGAGCGTAAACACGCATTTATCGATGCAAATGTTTACCGTAGGAAAGATTCTATGACGTGATGCCACATATTGTTTTCAATAAAAGCAAATTTCCCTCTTGTCATGACGGCAGTTATTTTGTTGACGCACGGTTAATAAGTTTCTTTTTTGTGGAATTAACGCGCGCATATCATTTACGCGGAGGAATTCGCATTTGCATGTTAAAATCGTCGGAAATTACGCAGAAGCCGCGCTCCGGAGAAGGAATGAGCGTAAATAAAGAAAAAGGCAAATAAAAAAGAGCAACCGCAACAGCATATTGATCGGGATTCCACTCATCGCTCTGAAGAAGTCTCGATCGTAGACGCAAAATACGCGCCTTTCTTCTCCAGCCGAGAAGTCTATTCACCTTTCTCCCCACGTCTCTTGTGCGGCCTCTCTTCCTTTCCCCCCTCGAAAATTATTTTCGCTTTGAGAAGTCAAACAAAACTAAAACACCGTTAACAGTCGGAAGAGTCAAAGTAAGACGCTTCTCAGTAAGAAGCAAAGAAGAAGCGTTTCCGTAAATAAACCGACGGGATGCTGCCTCGGTGGCCAAAAGGAGAGACGGCACGTGAGGGCTCTCTCCGGAGGAGGCGCGATTCTAATGGTGAGTCCAGCGAGCGCGGAGAGTTTCGTGTGTCATCCCTTAACGATTCACCGGGTGTATTTACGGACGATTAAATGCGACACGCGCTCTCGGATTGTTTCGTCGTCGTCATTCTTCGCCGATTCATTCGAGCGGGCTCCAGTCGATTTTTCATTGATAAAATTGCGGAAGTATTTTAACAACGTCACCGATAAAGTAGCAAGGACACCGAGAGAGGTGCGACAGGACTGACGCGTGAAAGTATTTCAACGCGAAAACTAATTATGCATACGGTATTTATAGGCGCGACGAGATACTTAACCCTCTCAATAAATTTACACAAAGTAAAGCCGTTACCTGCTCTCCCTTGTGTGTTGACGTGACGCCGTTAATCTTAGCCATCACTTTATTCATCACTTTCGTCCGTATATTCATTTAACAGTTGATTTTCATTAAAGAACTCGATAAGAAAATATCGGCAGACCTTCATAACGAGCATAACCTTTATAACGAGCCTGCAGATTTTTATTTTCCCACAGTTAAAAACATCCTTTATCCTCCCGTGCAGTTAAGAATTTTGCACGAATGTTTGCGTTCGGTTTTAATGGCCAGGTATACTCATGTTACGTATAATTCGCACGATATATTTATAATTAGGATTATAATTTGTACATTGATTATAATTATAGTAAGTATGAAACCTAGATATTTTGAAAAATGATCGACAAAGCAGCCGTTCTCATCTCTCGAGTGTTGTGTAACTTTATGAGGTCGATATGCGTTGTGAAATTTATTATTATCACACGGAAAATGCGAAGTAAGTTAAGAGAATGAAACCGTTGTCGTCGCCGATTGGCAACGATTGATATTTTACGATGTGAGCGAACAGTGCGTGTAAAAAAAAAGTAAACGAACGGCTTCAACAATGTGGTCCGCCCGCGCCATCCCTGGTGGGGATCGAACCCACGACCTTTGGATTAGAAGTCCAACGCGCTATCCTCTGCGCCACAGGGACGTGATGCTCTGCTCACCTCAGAAGCCGTAATACAAGTTGTACGTTTCACACTTCCCCTCGGGCAGATGTCGCTAATGCGCGCGACAATCGTAACGTTCAGTAGCGCACGTTTCGAAGCTTCGTGATAGACGCGACTAGTGCGAGTTACCATCGCCATTATTAATCTCGCGAAGGAAAATTGATTCGAGTCTATTTTCATTCCCCGAAATTCTTCGCATGGATTTACCATTTCGGGAATTTACACTGGAGGTAACTTCTTCCGTCGGAACACGCTGAAAATAGCTGATATTTCGGAGTCCAACATTAATATCCGTTTCTACCGCCATGGCTTGAGTGTTATCAGCGATCGACTCAACGGAATTGACCAATCGCATTGATCAGTTCAGTTGATTGGCCAATCGTCGATTAGATTTAAACTGTGGTGGTGGAGACGAGTATGAATATGTCTTTCCGATTCTTAAGCCGAAACTATGTTACACGTAACGTTCGTATAAGAAGAAAAGAACTTGGAATTTGCTAAAATTGTGAAAAATTGTGAAAGGACATATTTAACGATCGCTAGACGTGCAGAATAAGACCCCGGGTATTCGCGAAAAACATCGCGCAATGTCGACGGTATTTCTTCCGGAATCGAGTATCGAAGTGCTTGATGCAAAATACAAATAACATGGAAATGGATAACAAATATATGGATAAGAAATAAATATAACATGAAAATGGATAGCAAGTGTGAATAAAAAATATGAATAACGTGGAAGTGGGTGACAAAAAGAAGTATAGATAAAAAACAAGTAAATGGATAATGAATATGGATAAGAAATACGAATATCATGGAAGTGGATGGGAAATATGAATAAAAACCACAGGTAGCATTGATTTCAGAGGCTGACTCCGCCGGGCATGGCAACGGGCGAGCTTGCGCCGCACCTGCGAGTTGCCCACGGTGAGGGTGCAGTCGGGTCGGCGCGCGGGGAGGGGGCCGGACGGGAAAGATGGCCGTCGCGGAACATATGACAAAGAACGGCGGGCTCCCGTCGCGACCGACGACGGCGACATCCTCGCGACGACGACGACGTGAAGGACGCGTACACCGCGGCACCGCTGATCGCCGTCGTTAACCGCCGCCCGCCGGCGGCCGCGTCGTCGCCAAGTCGTCCTACCCGGTGCAACGTGCGGCGGCGGGACGACAGGAGAGGAAATTCTCGCGTGTGGGAGTTCTCGCGGACAGGTGAGTCGAGGTCGTCGAAGTCGGGAGAGCACGCGCCGAGAGACCGTCCCGCGTCCTCTGTGTTGCCGTGTCTGCCGCCGTCGTCGTCGCCGCCGTTGCCGCCGCCGCCGTCGTCCGTGGCCCACCGTGTCCGTCTCCGCGACAGTGGTGATATAGCGCGGCGCAGCGGGGGAGCCATGACTACGCGTGGAGAATGGGCTCGATCGCGTCGGTGTTGCAGTGGCATTGCTCGGAGTGCGCTCTGATAAACCCGACGGAGAGCGCGAGATGCGCCAGGTGCGGGCTGACGCGGCTCAGGAGCGACGAGAGGGCCAGCCACGGCAGGCTCGCGACCACCAGCAGCGCGGAGCGTAGCGGAGGTAGCGCGCCGCGGCGAGAGGCTGCGGGGGCCCGACAGCCAACGAGGAGGAGGCGCGACGACGATCCACCGCGGGGCAACGGATCCTCCTCCGAGGAATCGACACCGCCGACGCCGCCGCCGAGGACCGACAGGTTGGCGCGCAACCCGATTACGGATGACGACTTGACGTCGTCCTTTCCTGCCACCGACGCCGGCCAGTGCAGCGAGGCCCGACGCGCCGCCGCTGCTCGCGGGTGAGGGTCGCGATTTCCTCTCCCCCCCTCCTCCCCCCTCTCCGACTTCTTGCTATGTGTGTTGTGTACGTTGCGGGAGACGGGGGGAGGTCGCGGATGTGTGTTGTTGCTCCGCTTGAGTACTTGTAGATTGTTGTTCGTTGGTATTGACGTTGGTAAGATGTTGAGCCTAGAGCGTGGTCGGTTCTCTTATGTCGAGTTCTCGCGTGTGCGAGTGCCTTACTTCACGATGGACACTTGGCGGAATCGAGGCCGTATCGTTCAGTCGTTGTGACGAATCGTACGTCTGACGATGATCGTCTTGTCGAATGTGTGTCTTTATTATCAATGAACGCGAACGAGCTTCGTTGAGAGAGGTGAGACAGAATTTTTCTCAGGTCTCCCTTTCGGATGTAAAAATCTGCCTTCTCCTCGGATGTAAACGTAGACGATGTTAACGCTGTGCGATCGTTCCAACGGTCGATGCTACGCCAACGACGAACACCTGTTGAGATTACATTTTTCCCCCGATCTTGTGAACTTGCAGTTTCGAGAGGTCCTTGTCCGATGTCAGGAAGAATTTGCACCGCGGCTCCTGGGCCGGGACCTCGTCCGACAGAGAACCGTTGAAGCGCTCGGCGTCTCTGCCCTCTTTAGCCTCGCAATGGACTTGCATTCGATGTCTGTTGGACAATAGCTGCAGCTCGTTGATTTGCGCTGCTTGTGATGCTAGTTCGTCGATAGCTCAAACTGACAGGAGGCAGATCGGCGCGCGCAAGAGTAAGAAGATCAATCTGCACAAGGAGAATCGCTTCAAAGTCACCTCGGGACTTCTGGCCCATGTCTTAGATGGGGGTGCTGGTACAAGCGGCTTTGGTAACGATGTTAAAATTAATAATACAGGTGAGCTTCATCGTGAACAGACAATGTAGACACTTTAGGATCTATATTCTGCGCAGATTATACATCCATCTATTTCATCCGTATATCTTGAAAATGCGAAGATGTATGTAATATATTCAGCGCTATCATCCAGTCACTTGAGTCATCTTTTGTCACTTGACGAGTCGCTAAAAAAACGCACTATCGTCTAAGATGGGTTACTGTGTAGTCGCTTTTCTCCTGAGCTGCTGTTAAGTCTGTAAAATATAGACGTGAAATTGAAAAATCACGTGTATATCTTTCAAAGGCCGAAGTCCATTTCTTATTTGACGAAACATATTATTTATTTCAACCAAACTGCTCCGAAAGTGTACTTGTATCATGCCTTTGGTTTTCCCTTGTTATCAAACCGTACTGTGGAAAACATTCGCTATATATTAAGTTATTCAAAGATAAATAAATCTAAGAAGATAAAGATAAGCGTTCCCTTTTTTGTTTTAAGTGGCCTTAGGACTCTCAAAGTTTGGCAAAAAAAAATGTCAATTTTGATCGCTACTTTGACGATTTTTTCTGGGATCACTTCTCATCACCTTTTCATCCAAAAAGCACTCGCTACTTCACTTTTCTATCCCGGTGACTGCATGACCGCGCTGTATATATTTCTATCTGTATCTTATCTGCATCCTGCGGAGAAATCGTCATCGAATCGTCACTTGAAAACTTTTCAGGCATGGCACAGTTGACGAGTATAAGTCGGAACGAACGCGAGAGAGCGGAGCACAAAGACTGGATCCTGCCGTCAATTGGAGCGATGGAGTCCACGACGCTTCCGTTCGCAGACAACACCGATACCTCCCAGCGTTCCCCGAAGCGGCACAGTCCCTCCATGTACGAACGAGTGAAGTCGAAAGTCAGTCGTTCCCTGTCGAACGGCTCGGTCGTTCAGAAACTCTCGGAGCACGCCGTGCAGAGACCCACGAGCCTGGTGGTGCCTGAGACGCGTCAGGACGACGGCCTGTGGAGCTGCGACAATTGCACGCTGGACAATGCACCCGGCCTGGAGCAGTGCGAAGCGTGCGACGCTCCCAGGAGCCCGGCACCCTGCAGCGGAGTGGTTATCAGCGTGCCGGCCTGGGTACCGCGCGCGTTATCGTCTGCCGGTCCCCTGTCTTATCGGAGATCCTTCTCCGATGTGGACTCGGTCGCTGGCGTCGCGCAGAAGAAGACCGTCAACCGTAGGAGTCTGAACGACGAGGAGCCGCCCGCGGTGCCGCCACATTCCATTGGCTTCAACACGAGACCAAAGTATTCCTACATCGGGATCACGGATCCCGACATACCGCCGCCGTTGCCAAAGAAACAGAACAGCAAGTTGGTGCCGACGAAGGCGCACAGCGAGGCGACCAGTCCGGTGGGCGACGTGCCGAGCGTCAGCCCGCTCAAGCGCATGTGGACTTGCAGGAAGTGTTCTTATGCGTACAACCCGCTCTGGTCGGGTGGCTGCGACATCTGCGGCTCGTCCAGGTCGCCGCCGTCGTTGACGCAGCCCAGCCTGATCACCGTCACCAAGGACACCAGCAGCTACCCGACGCACGCACAATCCCCGATCGTGGTGACGGGCGACAGTGTTCGATACATCCCACCTAAGTCGGCCACCCTGGCCACTGCGGAGTCCGACTTGGACGAGCAGATCGACCCGCCGTCGCCGGTGTGGACGTGCAAAAAATGCACCCTGCTGAACGCCGCGTCGAGGACGACGTGCGAGGCTTGCTGCGGCTCGAAGCTCAAGAGCATCATGCACCTGGAGGACGCCACCTTGCGGAAGGGCGAGAGCTGGGTGTGCCCGTCGTGCACGCTGAGGAATCCCCTGTCGGCGCAGAACTGCAACGCCTGCAAGACCTTGGCGGATTTCCTGGAGGTGCCGAAGGACAATCGGGCTCTGGGCCAACGGAGCCCGAGCCCGAGGCTCTGTCCGACTCCGGCGAATTCTAAGGCGGTCACCCCGAGGCATCGGAATTCCGTGAGGAGGAACGGCTCGTCGGCGGGCGACAAAAGGCACTCGAGGACCAGGGACTCTTCACACGCTCAAGTAAGTAGTTCTCTCCTATTCCCGGGATTCCCGGAGACCGCTTATCGCTATGAGCGTGCGACTCTTCTCGAAGAGAGAGGGACTGAGAGAGTCACTACCGATTTTCTCGATCTTCACCATCTTCCGCTTTGTGTGTCCAGTGGCAATGTAAACTCTGCACGTACGAGAACAAAAGTACGAACGCCATCTGCGAAATGTGCCAAAGCTCGAAGTCGTTGTCGTCCCAAGTATCCGGAGACAGGGGGATATCCAGGCTGATCGAGTCGGGCACCAGTACCCTTAGAATACAGCGGCAAGAGAGCGTGGTGATGGAGAACCTCAGGCAGCTGGAGGAGAGAGAAGCGCTCGAAAAGTGGGAACGCATCGTGCGATACTGCAAAGAGGTAGTGGCGCAAATCTAAATTACAGTCATGTGCGCTGTATCGTCCGCCAAACGGAAAATTACACAATTTTCAGCCTCACAGATAACCCATAAGGTTGGAAGTCGCATTAATAATTAAAATTACAACGTAATAGGGTCATAATGGATCTAATTATTACAGTTTTGACTTGGTGTATATGCGTAAGGCTGAAAATCGAGTAATTTCTATCATTATAATTTAAATCTAATCGACGATTGACTCGACGGAATTGATCAATCGTATCGATAAGTTCAGCTGATTGGCCAATGCGATTGGTCACTTCCGTTGAATATATTAATCGCCGTTTAAATTAAAATCGTAATGGTAGAAACGAGCACAAGGAAGTTATCGCAAACTGAACACCCCTCGCATGTATTAATTTCGCAGACAAACGAGCCGTTCGTCGACGATTCGTTTCCGCCTGCTCCGAAATCCTTGTATTATAATCCCGCGGAGACGAAGGATAATCACGTCGTCCAATGGAGGAGGCCGCATCAGATTAACGTGGACTCAAGTGTCGATTCTAAACTGCCTTGGGCTGTCTTTAGGACACCCTTACCTTCTGATATCTCGCAAGGTGTCTTAGGAAATTGCTGGTTGCTGTCGGCTCTGGCTGTGTTGGCCGAGAGCGACGAGCTCGTGAGGAGAGTTCTGGTCATGAGGGAGACGTGTCCCGAGGGTGCTTACCAAGTCCGACTGTGTAAGGATGGCAAGTGGACGACGGTGCTCGTTGATGATCTACTACCCTGTGATAAGAGAGGCCACTTAGTGTACTCTCAGGTACGTATCCGCGAGTTGTCCGGATTTCTTCTTGTATCTTCACACGTACACAGTCATGGGCAGAATAGTTACAATACTTTCCTTCGATGAGTTTCGCTACGCATCCCGTGTCCAATAGGATAATTTGTCTTTTAGTCATTCTCAGGAAATATTTTTTCCTATCGGTACTTGCGAAGCTTATCGCAAGAAAATGTTGCAACTCTGCCTACGACCACACATACATGATCGAAGTCACACATGGTTAACATGCGCGTCGTCTTACGTCGAAGGCGAAACGGAAACAGCTCTGGGTGCCGCTGATCGAGAAAGCGGTTGCTAAGATACACGGCTGTTACGAAGCCTTAGTATCCGGCCGTGCTATAGAGGGTCTAGCGACATTGACCGGTGCCCCGTGTGAGAGCGTGCCTTTACAACCTTCAGCATTGCCAAGCGAAGACGAACTCGACAGGGACCTAATATGGGCACAACTTTTGTCCTCGAGGCAGGCTATGTTTCTAATGGGTGCTAGCTGCGGAGGTGGTAATATGAAGGTTGACGAGGAGGAATATCAACGGAAAGGTTTGAGGCCGAGGTACGTGCATTGAGAACCGAATTGTTTTCTTCTTTCTTATTTTTTGTCGTGCACATATGTATGTGCTAATCTCGTTTGAGGTGATTTCGTGTGAAAATTGCCTTTCATCGGTTAGTTTCTCTCTTCGGAAAAGCGTGCTGAAATGTTCACGAAACAAATCCATGAAGAACGTGACACTAACCCGAAAAGCAAATTAAGCGTTTCTTCGCGAAAGCGTGAAATATCAGATTGTTCCTTATATATTTCTTTAAATATTTTATATTAAAATATTTATATAGAAATTAAGAATTACTTGTTACATGGAATTATATGAAAACTGTAAAACTCCTCCGACTGACAATCGAAACCTTTTTTTCCAGGCATGCATATTCTGTCCTCGATGTGCGCGATGTACAGGTAAGATTCGCAAACGACGATGCCTGAATCGGTGCTTGATTTCCTCGGAATAAAAGATGTTCGTTTGCACAGGGAATACGGCTGTTGCGATTACGCAATCCTTGGGGTCACTACAGCTGGAAAGGGGACTGGTCGGACGATAGCCCTATATGGACCCCGCAATTACGGGAGATGCTGATGCCGCATGGTGCTTCGGACGGTGTCTTTTGGATATCTTTTGACGACGTTCTCAAGTATTTCGATTGCATTGACATCTGTAAGACGAGGGTCGGCTGGAGCGAAGTGAGATTACGCGGCACTCTGCCCCCGTTGTCGTCCCTCAGGCACTTGTCGTGCGTCCTTTTGACAGTATTAGAGCCCACTGAAACGGAATTTACGCTGTTCCAAGAGGGCCAAAGGTGAGAGACTATTGTCAGACTGTCTCGCGCAACGGACACGTGTCGCAGAATACAGTCGCTAACGAGCGCACGATGATTTCGCAGAAACTCGGAAAAATCGCAACGTTCTCAGCTGGATTTGTGCGTGGTGGTCTTTCGCACGAGGTCTCCGGCCGCCCCGGAAGTCGGTAGACTAGTGGAACACAGTAAACGGCAAGTGCGCGGCTTCGTCGGTTGCCACAAGATGCTCGAGAGGGATCTGTACATCGTCGTGTGCCTAGCCTTCAATCATTGGCACACCGGAATGGAAGACACGTCCAGTTATCCGGAATACGTTCTCGCCATTCACAGCTCGAAGAGGCTTCTGGTTGAACAGATCTCGCCGCCTGCCTTTGTTCTGGCCGATGCTATCATCAGCCTAACACTGGCCAAGGGACAACGGCACGAAGTAAGCAATAATAATTCATACAATTTCGGTTCGTCCCCCTCCTGAAAGTCCGTATGAACAGTTGTTACTCGTGACATGTGTCCGATAAGATACTACATATGTCTACCTCAACTTCGTTTTAAATTAACACTTATCATTCAGGAATGTATTTTTGCTTGATAGATATTAAATTTATAAGTGGCTCTCTTGATGTATTAAAATTACGGCACCAATGGGTAATATATCCTTGACACAATCATTTTTTCAAACTCAATCGTTGTCACACAAATATTTCACAGGGCAGAGAAGGCATGACTGCTTATTACCTAACCAAAGGATGGGCCGGCTTAGTGGTAATGGTCGAGAATCGTCATGTGAACAAGTGGATTCACGTAAAATGCGACTGCCATGAGAGCTATAACGTCGTGTCCACGAGAGGACAACTCAGAACTGCCGATAGTGTTCCACCCCTTCACAGGTAAAGACACGTCGTCTCGCCTGGTTCCACGCGGCACGAGACCAAGCGTATCCCTCACTTTACCGCCGTTTCTCGCCTTGCAGACAAGTCATCATAGTCCTAACGCAGCTGGAAGGTAGCGGAGGTTTCTCCATAGCACATCGACTCACGCACAGATTAGCTAACAGTGGCAACCTGCATGACTGGGGACCGCCTGATACCCAACATTGTCCCCAAATCGATACTCAGGTGGAAGGTTTGCACAGTCCTCGTTTGATAACGTGAAACTAAGAACGTGATGTACGGACGAATAGTAGCGAGATAATCAGACCGAGGCTCTCCGGAGGAGACCGCTAGAAGAAGGTGCAGTCGATCGTAAAAACCAGATACGATTCTTGCACACGCGACGTTCGAGAAATTGACTGAAGAGAAAACCAAAGCAAAAGCTAGAAAGATTTCAGAGTAAGACGTTCCGGCGACATTAGGATACTCTTTGTGCTTTCTAGCTGATAATATTCCACGGATGCTCTTAGCGTTGCAACATGCTCACACAGCATTGGACGTAATACAATAAGTAACAATTAATGTACAATGGTTCTGGACCCAGTGATTAATGGTAGAGATACCTTCTTTCGGATAGACGGTGCGCCACGCACTTCGAGCTCGCGCTAATGAGAGGATGGGCAAACTTAAGGAAAAAAAGAAAAAGGAAAAAAAGAGAGAGAAAGAGAGAGAGAGAGAGAGAGAAAGAGAGAAAAGAATAAAATGAAACGTGCAAATTAAGTGTTTCTGCTGGAACCATTGAGCCGTAAAGAAGACTCATGGAAAATTGAATATTTATGAAGAAACAAGTTGAACATTTTGCTTGTTATATAAACGAAAAAAAAATTATTTTCTCAACTTAACGTTTAAGCATCGTAAGAAATACGACAAAACCTAAAGATTACACAATAATATAATGTAAAATGAGAAACCATTTTAGGAGACACTAAGGATGTGTGTGAACACCGTACACATTGTTTTTGGAATTGCTTAGAGTATGTAGTACGATTACGGAACGGGACATTTCCAGTTTAGTCGACGTTTACACGCCGATATCTCTTATTGCTGTACACGTAAGGCCGTATTTTGAAACCCACATTTGAGGGAACTCGAGTTCTTGGTTCTCCATTTTTGACATGTGCACGATATAAATGAACAAAAAAAAAAGAGGAAAGAGGAAACGGGGGAAAAAAGAGGCTGGATCCTTATGCACGAGGGTTCTCATGTATCGACCGTAGTGGCATAGGACCTTTAACTTATCTAGACTTCGTTGTTCCCATCTTGCAACCGGATGGAGAGCTTGTGCTAAAAAAAAAAAGAAGAAAAAAAAACGAAAACATAATAATGGACGTAGCGCGCGGCTACAGAACCAAAGATCTCTCTTGAAAGTTTTAAAATATCTCGACGCGTTCACTGCCATTCTATGCAATGTATATAGCCTACTTTTGCTTCTGTTACCAAGTCGCACCTGGGTTACAGTCGGGGGATAGAGTCGGAATCGTCGACGACTATTCCTCGCGCACTCTTTATGTTTCCGTTCGCCTTTGGTCGGTACATTGCGAAAATACATGCGCAAGCATGGCAGTCAGCGGGTTAGACGTCTTTAATTCTTGTGTTCATGTACTCCTTGAAAGAGGGAAAGGTACATATGTGTATGTATATTAAATGTGTTATCTCTCGTTTGTACACCCAGCCGATATCGCAGCAGTACTGTCAGAGAGAGAGAGAGAGAGAGAGAAAGCAACATGTCCGTTCATTCGCACAGACACCATAAGGACTCGTCTGCGAATCTGATCTCTTGTTCGTTAAAAAAATTGTTATCGGCGCATCGTTCATTTTTCAAAAGACACACCTAAGTTAAGCGACGTGTTACGTAAAAACGTTTAATCAAATCTCCAAATGCAGATATTTTGTTGAGAGACGAGAGTATATTTAATAATATTTGAGGTACGTAATGTTAAAAATATAAGTGCGATCCACCGTGTAGTCGCACCGATTGCATGTGGTATTTTAATGGAGAAAATCGATTTCAAGTCACGCACAGGGAAGAGAGATTGGTTGAATCAATGTGACAGTGAAAAGGAAACGGAATTTCCGGTTCTTGTGAATCAAATTCGGTCCGGAGAACCGGAAATGTCGTTATTTTCAAAGGAAACTCGTTCATTGAATCGCGTTAATTGAGGAGCGAATATGGTAAAAGATGAAAGTGCCAAGTTCTAATTTCCATTTTTTCACGTCTAACGATGGTGCCATTCTTTGTAACTTTGCGAACGTGGAACGAATTGGAAAAATTCGGCTTAAATATAATTCTTGACGTAAGATGTCGCTGATGATGAATGCATTTGCAGAATGACCAGGAGAACATAAATGTTGTATTTGGCACTTTCATCGTTCATCATATTCAATCAGACTCTATCTTCCGTACGTAACACACTTGGTTTGTTCTTTTTAGCTAAATTAGCTGCACTAGTTCACAAAGTCTGCACTAAAATATTCTTTTTAGCTGAACTGTATAAAGGAAAGCATTCCTTTTAGTAGTGAAGTCTAAACCAGTGCAGCCAGTTCAGGTAAAGCAAGCAGTGCAGGACTCGCATCCGGGAAATTTGAAATATATTTGTCATTGTCACTTGAAGAAAGATTGCGATGAGGATGGAATCTGGAAGAACAGTCTACAAATTGCAAACATTGAAAATGATATAAATATTAAATATAAAATAACATAAAATATTTTCTCATTGATTTAGTTGATATAAAACGATAGTTTTGACAAATTAAATTCACTAGAAAATATGAAACTGCAATAGTAACTGTTTTTATCGTAGAAGAAATAACCTTACTTTAAACGTCAAATTTTCGAAAAATAAGAATCTAACAAATTTACCGGCCATTATGTTGGCTACTGCATTATGCCGTTCTTTTTAGATGTGTATTCTTGGACTACCTACACTATCTTGAACTGGCTCGGACTGGTTCAGTTCTAATGCAGCTCCAGGTCAGTTAAAAAGAACGAACTTAAAGATTTCTCACAGTCGTTGTCCCCGGACATATTTCAAGCTCGATGTATGCGAGTGCGTATTGTAATATGCTTTTATGTGTCGCGTATAACCGGCGAGCGTCCGGCTGGCCGCTCCGCAACGGAAAGATCTGATGTTTTGGCTCTAATGTCAAACTGCCATGTTCCATGTTTTCAGATAATGTCGGGTCGATTACGCGCGCGCGATCGCGTGTCTGGCAGTAGCGATTACATCGAATCAAAAAAAAAAAGAAGGGGGAAAATTGTCTGAAGTTCTCTATACACATTGAATGTGGTGATGCGACAATACACGATGCTGTGATCAGCCGATGATGCTTTGACTCAAACCGGAAAAGTTTGTCGACAGAAATCCTTTGTTTAACGGACTGCGAGCGTTGGCGCGAAAACGCTGTTTCGCTCAATAGTACAAAATTGCCGTTTTACGATTTACTACCAAATTCGCTTGTGTCGTCCGAGTGATATACACGGGCCGGCGTGCGCGTGTCTTCAACATGGTTCGGACACCTCTTCCGTCTGTGCAGTTTGGAACACAGCCACACGTGGTCCAATGAGAGAACCTGTTTTTGACCAATCCCCAGAAGTTAAGTTCTCTTATTGGACCACCGGCTGTGCTGCGAATTGCGTCGAAAGAAAAGGCCGTTCGAGCCGTTTGGAAACCGAGTATACATTAATGCTGTCATTGTAATCCGGGTACTCAAACTCGCTGGTACAGCAGATTCCATTAATGCTGTGCCATTCACTAGACGTAGTAACATTGAAAATTTTCAATTAGGTGCGTTATTTTTGAACGTTATACATCATAACTGCTGCTGCAGAGAATCGATTCATCGAATTATCAACAGCCATGATGCCACAAATAATGCGCCTGACTAGAAACTTTCGATGTAGAAAATAGTACAGCGTTAGCGGAATCTTCTGTATTATTTGGAGTAGCAAGCATCGATCATGAGTCTGCGTTACACTCGTCCGTAATTTGTTACGTTAGAAAAGATTGATAACGAGGTGACATCCGAAATAACTGGATACTCGGATAACCAAATGATACTTGAATGTTATTCGAGTACCCGGAATTGACACCATCAGTGTATATGTCTCAGCACATAGTGTGATTTTTAATCGTAGTAATTAATGCGGTACGATTGAGAATTGTATCAACTCTGATAATGTGAGTGTTGAGAGTGTTACGCCGGCTTTTGCGTCGTGTACGCCTTACCATTGTAACTAGACTTACTCATGCGACTTTCGACCTTATGCGTGTATGTGTAAGGCTGACTCTCGATCTAGAGAATGGTCTGGCATACATGGCGCTGATTATACACTCGTTTGCATTGCGGTTCGTACACGTTTCTTCCGACGAATTTCGGAGCGTATCAAATATTCATATTAATAATAGTTAATAATATTGTGAGTGGAAGATTCCATTAATGCAGTCGAAAATTTCCAATCAGGCGCATTGTGTCCGAATATTCGCGCATTACCAACTATTGATTATTCCGTGAATCGGCGATGATGCTCCAGAGTAGTCATGATGTACAAATATTCAGGAATGATGCCTGATTGGAAATTTTCGATGTCACTATAGGACCTAAGGAATAGGACCGCATCAATGAAATCTTGTGAACCAGTGACTCACGCATTTGCACGGCAATCGATTATGACGAAAGTCGAGTGACAGTACACGGCATAGTGGCCTTTTGTTATACTCTTATCCGATAGATAAAAGTATAATAAAAATACTGAAATTTTTCCCCAATCTTCTTCGTCGCAGTTGCGACGCCGAATGCCATGTATATCACTTCGGCTCCTGTCGTAACCGATTACCACGCAAGTGGCTCGCAATTATGAGCATTTAATGCGCTCTTAAATTCATAAAAAAAGAAATATGTTCACATTGCGTCATGTATGCTTTATCATTATAACTAAAATTACCCATGCGACTTTCGGCCTTATGCGTATCATGTGTAAGACTGAAAATCGTATAACTCAATCTAAGTAATGATAAGTCATATGCACACATACACAGCCGTTAAATTGAAGGTTGCGACACTTTTCTCTTCGATGAATTTCACCACGCATACTGATTTCAAGCCGTTTCGCAAACGAGTGTACACACCGCACGTAATCGCGCGAGCTTGATTTCCGGACAGTCGTCAGCGTCGGAATTTGTAATTTCATTCGCTCTTCTCGAGTTGAACGATTAGTAGAGACTGATATTCTCGCACCGATGTACATTACTTGCGCATACTCTAAGTTTCCCAATACATCGCGAGAGAGAAAGAGAGAGAGAGAGAGAGAGAGAGAGAGTGCAGATTATTCGAGAATCTCATTTAGCTTTCGGTTTTCTCACAATGCATCTTCGCTAGTTGCGATTGTCCACCTGTGAGATTGTCTCCCGCGAGCGAGGAGGATGCCACAGCGCAGCAAGGCGCGGGACACTCATCCCCCCCCCCTTCGTCGATCTCAAAACAGCAGGCCGAATTTGTTGTAGCAGGGCCTAAGCGCTAGTGACTAGTCTTAAGGATTAAAACACGAGGAACATAGTCCCGGGAAATGTCCGTTTTCACCTGTATCCGTAATGCGCGTATTGACGGAAACACGTCCAGATAATCAGTCTTTAACGGTGATGCGCTCAAAAGTTCAGTGAACGTTTACGAACGAGAGATTCGGGGATACCCGCACGATGGCTCGCGCGACTCGAACGACGTCTCGCGCGCCGGCCGAGTCGCCACGGACGGGATTATTTAACACGTTGACTGCCAACAACGAGATATCTCGTAGGTTGTTTACTTGCCCAGGACGCCAACTACGAGTTATCTCGTCGCTTCATTACTTGATTAAATCAAATTGGCTTCTTAGACCAGAATCGTGAAAAGTTCCGTGGCAGTGAACGTGTTAAGCGAGCACGCGCGCGCAACGTCGTTTAATTCGCCGGTGCATCGGAGGAATTTATTCTTCACGAGTAACTACTTAATATTTGCAGTAGGTTCTGTATTGAGTGGCCTTCGTTTACAAAAGATAATAGTTTCGTAAATATAAGACACAGGACTCACCATCGGAGTTGTGCACTTCACGATTATTCTCGGGTGAGCGCGAGTCATCCGAGCGACACCCCGGAGAGAATTTGATTAAAGCGAGGAGAAGAATCGAGATTCCGGGACGAAAAGTCTCTCTCTCGTCACCCTCGAAGCGTACAACTCTCATTGTATGAGATCACACACACGCGCACATTCTTAAACACACGTAAGGTAACGAAGGCTAGAAAATCACGCTGTCGTGCGTAATGGCGTTAAAGGGAGCGAGCGG